AAATTTGCACCTTTACATAGCCTCTCTTGGTTCTTATTTTTCACCCTTGCCCAGCCCTCCCTTCAACCCCTCCAGTCCTCCCTATTTACAAAGATTTTGAACTGAATGAGACAGGGCCTTAATCTGGGACTTCCCAGCCATCCGAAAGGGCAGGAATAGATTCCTATTGTTCAAGCCATCCAGGCTGTGGTTGTTATAGTAGCCCCAACTGAATAGGACAGCAGTTCTTACCAGCAAAGGTACCCAGTAGTAATTTAAAGATGTTGGTCCTCCCAAAATCACTGGCATTTTTTCTGTAAAGAGTAAGAAGGCCAGGACACCTACATTGAAAAGGCAGAACATGTACGAGTGTATATTATGCATCGGCAAAGGTACACAGGTTTTTGTAGTATAGCAGTTTTTCCAAGAATCTTTTCAACTTTTTATTATTTATTATTATTATTACTTACCTATAAGTGCAGAAACTAGAATTTTCCCCAGGAGTAATACAAAATGTGTAACTTCATCCGTAACTGCCACTCTGAGAATTAGAGAAAAGAAAGTACGATACTATGTTTAGAAGGCATTTGTGACTTGATATTAACGGGAATAAATAACTCATGAGTTATTTGGATGTGTCTGCTTAAATTTCACTTGGTAACAGTTAAATGCAAGAAATGAACACAGGGATTGTTAAATGCACGTAGAACACAGGGATGAAGCTCCCACTTATTTTTAATGAAGGAAACAGAAGACGGCATTGTAGGGCTTCTGGGTGCTGAGCAGGGGTGGCATCAGCCTCACTCTATTTGAGATGGAGACACCCCGAATCCTAGGGATGCAGCGTGTGGACTCTGACTTTGCCCACTCAATATCCATCATTTTGGGGAGTGGGAAATGGCCAGTGTCAATCGACTTCTCAAGTAGAGGGGATAATAAAAAATAAATGCCAGTGGATATAAAAATGTAGATGGAAGATGGAAACAACAGTTCTCACATCTGAAAACAAACTGGTGATGTGAGAAAGAAGAGTTAAATCTCTCAACTTACTATTTTTTCCAGTACCAGGGATTGAACTCAGGACCTTGCACTTGCCAGCCACATGCAGCACCACTGAGCTAGATCCCTGCCCCTAAAACCCCTCAATTTGAAAGACACTATTTGTGCCTAATAAGGCTACCAAGACTCCAGATAGCAGTATGCAAAGGATGGAATGCTTGGGGCTCATCCAACTGTCTCTTGGAATTTTCAATCTAATTACTTACTTTAAAATGTTTCTCATCAGAAGGTTGAAAGCATCCCTGGCTGATCTGCAGAAGTTTTTGCCATATATTGCAATCTGAGGAAGAAGATGGATAGTATTTCAATTTCAGCTTGCTCTGACAAGACCAAAGGACAACCCAATACAGTGACAGAGCAATAATAACAATAATTCCTGTCACCCATACTGACAATGCTGCATCCTCTTTTCACCATTTGGGTTTGTGGGAGGCCTGGGAAGTGTGTGTCTCGGCTCTGCACATCTCTGGGTGGTATGGTTTGTGTTTAGATGTCCCCCAAAAGCCTCATGCCAATGATGTGGGATTTCCTTTTTCAGAGGTAGTTGAATATGGAATGTCTGATCACTAAACGACTACATGTGAGCGATTAGTTTGGCACCTCCCGAATCCCAGTAGTCTGAATAAGATAAAAGGGGAGGAAAGATGCTGTTCAATTCTCTCTCTCTCGTTGCCTTTGCTGCCTTGTGGGAGCCATGTTCCTCCTGCTCTGCCATGCCTGTTTGTCATCCCTGCCTTGGAGTTGGCCAATTGTGGACTGAAATGTCTACAAACTGTAAGCCAAATAAACTCCTTCCTTTCCAACTTTTGGTGTCAGGATTTTGTCTCAGCAACGAGAGAAAATAACTAAGACACTGGGTCACTAGCAACACAGTGCTCTTTGCACACTATGCAACCCCAGACTCCGAGGGATTAGGTGGTCTGCAACAGAACCTGGCCTTATGGTCAAGCCTTGGTAAGGGAAATGTTTGGGAAGTGTTTTTTGGTACCAGGGATCGAACTCGGGTCCTTGTGCTTGTAGGGCAGGTGGCAGAACCACTGAGCTAAATCCCCGGCCCCTGCTTGTGAAATGTTCCGGCTGGAATCTATCATTAAATGTTGTAATCTCAACATCAAAATTTACTCTGAATGCAATCCAATGACTTTACTACACTCGATTTACTGGTCACAGGGGTCAACACAGTACCCTACTGGAGGCAAGTTAATGCCTGTCCGAATCGCCGTGAGGATTCTAAGCACCTCAGATCTGCCCTGTGGCCCTGAGGATTCTAAGCACCTCAGATCTGCCCTGTGGCCCTGAGGATTCTAAGCACCTCAG